GGTCACCAGTACAATAGTTTGAGAACCACTGTTATATATGGTGACATAAGTGTATGTAAAGCAGTATGGTGGGAGAGCTGTGCCACAATTAACAGGTTCCTTATCCCAAAGGACTATCAGTATAAGGGTATAAGCTAGGGCAGTTCAAAATACTCTACCGAGTATTAAGGTGTGTCTGCACTACAAGCTCTACAGACGCAAACCTTCAGCTGTACCCCTGTAGTGCAGACATTTGCTACAGCAGTGGGAGAGATTTTTCCATTGCTGTAGGAAATTCCTCCCCCTTCCCCTGAGAGGTGGAATCTAGATCAATGGAAGAATTCTCCTGTGGATCTAGTGGTGTCTATATTGGGGCTGAGGTTGTCATAACGCCGTCTTTCAGGGTGTGAATTTTTCACACCCTTGAGTGATGTAGCTAGGTGGACCTATGTTTTAGGCCTTAGAAAAGCAGAGTAGCTGGTAGCCATAACTGGAAAAAAGCTCTTTGGAAAAAGTGGATGTTAAAAGGTTTTGGAAAGGAAGAGAGTGATGTTCTAAATGTAATGGTGACAGGCAAGAAGATGCAGAGTTGAGAGTGAGCAAAGAGGGAGATGGGTGTAGTGGAGGAGATGAGGGTAGAATTGTTCGCAGAAGGAGGAGTATGGGGATCCTTGTAGGTTAAGAGAAGAGGTTTGAATTTTTTGTGGGATTAGAAAAGAGGTTGGGGAGGAAGGCCTAGAGTTCTGGGAAAGTAAAATCACTTGGTAGCAATATTTTAGATGGACTGAACTGCAGTGGAGAGAGAATGGTATAGCAGAAGGTTGCAGTAGTCAAGATATAAAAACTAGTGTGTGGATTCTGTTCTTGGCAATTGGATTGGAGACAGAAGGATGATTTTTTTTCTAGATATGGTATAGTAAGAAGCAGCAGGAATTATCAAGTGCATGGAAGTAAGGAGAGTCTAAAATGACACCATGATTGAAAGCCTGGGTAATGGGAGGGATCATCTCATCCTTGATAAGAATGGAGTAGGATAAACATCCACCAAAATATTTATTAGGATTTTCAAAAGGGTTTGGCATTGGCCTAATTGCTTGCATTGAAGTCAATATCAGTTTTACCATTGACTTCAGTGACAGCAGAATTAGGTCAGTGCTGAATACCTCTAAAACTCCCATCCTTTCTATTTGAGTTTCATATAGCAGTAAAGTGCTGTCTTATGATGAAGCATGTGTGAATAACTGTTGTGAGATAATGAATACTCATTTTTTATTTCACCATTGTTTTTTTCCTTAATTTTCTTAATGCAGAGCAAAGTGATCCTCCAAGAAAAAGTAGTAAAAATCATAATACTAAAGCAGATTTTCTCACTGTTCATCAGTTGTGGGCATGAGGAGAGACGTAGTTTTTACATCGCATGAACAGTATTTGACTCAATTACATACCGCAAGTGCTATTTGTAAAAGTTTTATACATTGGTCTTCTTGATAATTGAAGCTTGAATAACAGAACAAGTACAATAAAGAGAACCTTGTGTGTCTAAAACGCTGTTTATCATCTTAATAATAAGTACTTCAGCTAAGCATGACAATGATTCAGCCAAGTATATTGTATTATTCAAGTAAATTCAAGAAATATTGTATATAAAAATAAGTCTGGGACTAGAAGTAAACAGTGTTTTAGCATATGGTTATATTTTAAATAAGAAAATTTACATTACACTGCCTAGTCAAATAATTAGCTTTTTGTGTTTTTAAATTAATTTTAAACAAAGGACACATTGTAATTTTTGTTCAAGAGTCTTGCCATCTATTTACCACTGTCCTAATGATTCAGTTTCTCTTTTTCCATATGGATTGTTTTGTCCACCCACACAGTTGATACATGTCTCCTTTTGTAATAAGAACCTTTTAGTTTTCATATTCTAAATGTTTCCATCTGTTAATTTTCCAAGTTTTTCTTTTTTACAGATGTTTGTTATCCTGCTGTGTATGTAACTAAATTCATCCGTCAGTTTTACTGATCCACATATAGTACAATAGATTAGAATTTTAGGGACTCTGTGTAACGAGTTCACTATTTTTATCATTGCTCATTTGCATTTGTAAATTCACGTTACCTGGCAGAATTAATAAACTGAACATAAGAATGGCAATACTGGGTCAGACCAAAGGTCCATCCAGCCCAGTATAACACTTATGCATGAAGTTAGCTATCTAACACTGAAATGTTATAAAATGCATGCTGTGACATACTTTTTTTCTTGCATTTTTTCTTTAGTTTCTTCAGTTTCATCCTCATTGGAAGAGAATAATACAAATCAATCTAACTGGTAATCATTAGAGCCAGTGACAGATTAGTGTGAATTCTTTAATTACCTGGAGGAAGGAAGGAGCCCAACCTTGTTTGTTTGTTTGTTTTGCATTTCATACTGCCAACAGTGTGCTAGGCACTGCCCATGTGTGCAGGAGGGCAAAAGGTCCGGTTCAAAGAGCTTGCAGTCTATGAAGAGAAACATACAAACAGTAGTGGGAAGGAAAGCATCCAAGCATGAGTGGTCTGGAAGAGAGTTTCAGCCCACCATTTCTGTTGTAAGTGGATTTTTTTGCACTTACATGTTGTGTGTTCTCACAAGTGAATTCTGTGTGTATGATGCTTATCAAGTGGTTAGTCACCCAATAGTTAGTATTTGCATCTGCAACACTTTGCCCAGTAGATCAAAACATAGCTATAGCTCTTCTAGTATAATTAGCTACGCAGGTAGCAGAATGTTTGAATCTAGCCTCACAACCTGGAAGAACCATTGTCTTCTTCTGAGGCAGGCCAAGAACTCTGTATTACCACATTGCAACCCTCTCACGCCAAGTTCTTGGTTTTGAGGCCCTCCTCTGGACTTCATCTTTCAGATGGTAATCTCCTGTAATCAGTCTACTCCAGCCTTGAATTTGGTAGCTCTATATTGCTCCTGTTGTAAGAGAGTTCCTGTCTGCACTAGCAGCTCCTAAAGTTTTTGATCAGCCAGGATTTTATAGCCTTGAAAAATCCCAGAAACGATTATAAACCTTTTTCCTTCCACAGAGAATCACCCTCGGCCTTCTTATTTCAGGATTTTGCAAGCATTCAGGATACTGTTCCTCTAATGAAGCTGTTCTAAAGCCAGCCTCATATCAGGTTTGCCTTCTTCCTTAGTTGTGTGTTTAAATACCAGCTAGTAGCTCTTTCCCCCCCTCATCGGAGTAGTCAGACATCCTTTATGGAGACTCTACTTCTGCTGCAACCCTTCTTTGATACTTGGGGGAGGGATGCCTGATGGAACATCAGTGCTCTGGGAACAGAAATTCCGCTATCCAGATATGCAGAAAATAGGCTGGGCCAGCCAGGAAAAAACATTCACAATCACTCATACACCCTTTCACATACACCCCATAGCTATATATGCTGAGCCCATTAATCCTATCTTGTCCTTGCCCATTGCTGTGCACCCACACCTTTCAGAGACTCTGTATGTTTTTCCCCCTGTTAAGCTGAAATTAAAGAAGGTGCTTAAGTTTAACCGCATTTGTCTGTGGAAAAGGCTATGATGCAACAGCACTGCTTGTGGCAGTGCTTCTCTTCCCCAGTCAGAGATGGAGTGTACATTCTTTCACCGATCCCAAACTACAGTGGCTTCTGCAGTTTAATACTCAAACTATACCGGCACAGAAAACATCTTTTTTATAGTCAAAACAACATTCAAAAGGATTAAGTAGGTAGATTTTAGACAAGTCTTACAGAAAATGAAAAGTCATCATTAATGTACGTTTTATGTAGGAAAAAGAATGTGTGTGAGATGGGGGGAGAGTTTCAGTGACTTGATCGTTATTTACTTGTGAGGATTTAATATCCGTTCTCATTCTCAAGAAGGACCTTAGCTTTGTGATATTTAAGAAAACAAAAATCATCTCCCATAGATTCAAATTGTCATGAATAATTGATTAATAATAATCCAATTCTGAAAATTAAATAGCCTAAAATATGCCCATGTTTTACAGATAGAAAGGTCATTGCTATCCATCATTTCTCTCTGCTTCAATTGCCTCTTTCTCCTCTACTAAACAGCATCCTGCATAAGGGTTCTTCTCTTGGGAAAGGGATACTTCATCCATCTCTGGGGGGATAAACTACTATGTACATTGTGGTGCCCACTATCTTAATTAAAGAAAAGGAGGTAAGGAAGGTGGTGTGATTATATTATTCTAGGAGATTTATTATCTTCTCTATTACTCAAATTTACACAGATTTTATTTTCTACAGTTAATTAATGAAAACAACTGCTAAAGGAAAAGGTCTATTTCGGTATTTGCAATGCAGTATTTTTGTTTTTTGGTACGTTATATTATACAATTTAAAAATAGGACATTTTTATAACTCACATTATAGTATCTGATTTTAGAATGATCCCTTGAAGATGAATTTTTCTTAGAAATCTTACAGTGTATTAAACTGTTTTAAAGTTATGAGAATGAAAAATCTTTTTCTGTTTAAAAAAATGTCTTAGTGTTTGGAATAACTCAAATGGCTGTTTTCAAACTTCAGAGTTGGCAAATCCTCTATGATGACTAGTTACTTTGTAAGTCTAAAATGCTTTAAAAATTAGATTAATAGAAAAATGAATGAAAATAGCATACTGATCCTAAGTAGTCCATCCGCATCCTTAAAGACGTAATTGCCGAATGTTCCAAATGGGATAGATGCAGTGCATGAGCAAGCATGTGACCAGAAGTGTGCCTAAATAAACCAGGGGTCAGCCACCTCTGGCACGCGGCTCGCCAGGGTAAGCACCCTGGCGGGCTGGGCCAGTTTGTTTACCTGCCGCATCGGCAGGTTCGACCAAACGCGGCTCCAACTGGCCTTTGGCCCGCGCCGCTTCCCGCAGCCCCCATTGGCCTGGGATGGCGAACCGCGGCCAGTGGGAGCCGCGATCGGCCGAACCTGCTGACGCGGCAGGTAAACAAACTGGCCTGGCCCGCCAGAGTGCTTACCCTGGCGAGCCGTGTGTCAGAGGTGGCCGACCCCTGAAATAAACAGTCCAGCTTTGTTTATTTCAGTGCCCAGACATTCAAATAAAGGCATCTAGGATATGATCTTGAATGTTTGATCCTCTTTGAGACGTTTAACACATTTTCAGAGGAAGTGTGTCCAGACAATAGATATAGTAGTTTTGTCTAGGAGCACCTTTATGTGTAGCCACTTCTTGGGATACCTAAGCGATTTCTCCTTCAACCAGATCACCCTAACCTCTCACCCATCTACCATACACCTCCTTTACTAACTTCTGCTTTTCCCTCTAATGTGCTTCCTCTCTCTCAACTCTCAGATCTCCTCCAGTATGTACTGACTGGCCTAATGCCATGTGTATTTTAATTTGTTCTTCCCAGCCGGTTGTTTAATTCCTTATCTGAAACTAAATCTATTATATTGTTTATTCAAGTGAACTATTACAGTGAAGTGGAGAAAAGAGTTTGGCACCCAAAAGGCTGATGACCTACCAAATACTAAGATTGCTCACAAAGTGCATACTTTTGAAATCACTGTATTTCAAAATGTTGAGCATAAGCTAATCCTTTCAGCACTACATAAGGATGAATAATGTGACTTATTGTGACACTTTTCAACCAGTAAGTACCAAAACATAAATTTTGATTGATTAACTTATATTAAAAAGACAACACAGGACAAGTTATACGTCTTGTATTATATTGGTTATACATCTTGTACTATATACAGTTCTTCTGATAAGCTTGATCTTAGATTGTACACCAGTTGTTGGAATTCTGATCTTGAATGAGAAGTTTAAGGGCTTAGTCAGCTCGGGGCAGGTTACTGCATTATGTGCTTCTTGTATTCTAGAGTGGGCTCTTAATTGGTCTTTTCTATGGCACTTGAGTTTAGTCCTGATACAGGTGCATCAAGTTTAAAGGAGGAGAATTTAGAAGATTTGGATACAAGTGCAGTTGCTGTAAACTGGTAAATGCAAGTGAGAAATCGTAAGCCATTAACAGCAGTACACACCAGACAGAATAAAAATCTTGAATATTCCTAATATGCTCATCACAGTTCTGAGGTAGCACAACCAATGGAGTCACATTATATTTCTCCATAATGGATTCTATTCATCACTACTCTGATGATTGAGCTCTGATTGTTTAGATTCTCTCCCCGCCCCCCCCCCTTTTTCTTCTAATGAGAAATGTGGATGAGTTGTTCTTTCCTATTGTGAGGAAGGCTTTTGCAAAAAGGTAGGCTTTAGTTTGTACCTGGAAAGGGTTCATTTTGGGATCATTCTTACTTTTTGCTGTAAGATATTCCAAGGTCCTTCAGCTGAGCATGCTCTGCCCCTTACTCTGGAGAATTTCACCCTGGACTCTATCAGCTGTAGTTTTACCTTGAGTACATTTGACTTGGATGGTAAGACAGTATCTGAGATAATCAGGTTCTTATCAGTTAAGGTCCTTGAAGGTTAGAACCAGGACTTTGAACTGAACCAGATATTGGAAGCCAGTAGAATTAGCAAAGTGCCAGTGATGTGCACTTTGTAGCCTTTTTCGCTTAAAAAGGGGGGGCTGCTGCATTCTGTATAAATTGAAAATTTCTTGGTTTTTAATCCACAACCCCAGATAGAATGAGTTGCGGTGGTTTAACCACCATGGCTAGTTTTCATAGTGTGTAACCTTCCAGGTGACTGAATGTGGAAGAAGGTGTTTTGGTTTTTTGTTTTTGTTTTTTTTTGCTATGGCCACTAGTTGTGTATATAGTAGCAGTCATGATTCCAGCAGGAACTTTAGGGTACGTCTATACTTACCTCCGGGTCCGGCGGTAAGCAATCCATCTTCTGGGTTCGATTTATCACGTCTTGTCTAGACGTGATAAATCGATCCCGGATCCATCCCGGAAGTGCTCGCCGTCGACGCCGGTATTCCTGCTCCGCAAGAGGAGTACGCTGAGTCGACGGGGGAGCCTGCCTGCCGCGTCTGGACCCGCGGTAAGTTCGAACTAAGGTACTTCGACTTCAGCTACGTTATTCACGTATCTTAGTTCAAAGTGGAGGGTTAGTGTGGACATGCACTTCGATGCTGCGCTGGGTGATCACAGTGTTGACGCACATATGCTACGTATACTAATGGCCAAGATTATTTGAGGCCTTTTGTTTCTGTATAACTGCATGCCCGCCTCAACAGCGCTTTGCCTGGTTGCTAGGATGACAATCATAAATTCTGCATATAGTTTGGGATTTCCAGATAAATTTGCCATGTTTTGAATATAAAGTAAATTCTAGATACATTTCAAAATAGTGTCTGTTGTTGGTACGATGTAAGATAAATTTAATCCAAAACTATTATATGCTGAATTGGTTTTAAAAATAGTTCACTGTAATTGTAATTACTTCTCCTAATTGGAAAATATCATGTATATTTGTCTTGTGCCTTTAAAGTGAAAGAGGAATAAAAAGTGTGACCAAATTCAATGTGAAATATTATGGATTCCCTGAGTAAGTGTGGCTTCAGTCTGCTATTTTCAGTAATACTGGTTTCAATTAGCAATATTTAGCATTGCAGACAACAAATTACATACTGTACAAAAACATGATCATACATGATTTGTACTTTTAGAATACATTTTTGCCGCCCCCCCCCCCAAAGTCATAAACGTGAACTATTGCAGTAATGGTTAGCCTTTATCATTTTAATTTATATGTATTTTTTGTGTGTTTTATAGCATAACTTGATGTAGGTTGCATAGCTGAAGACTGTTAATGCGTCTTCCATATAACATATGTGTGTGCATGCATATATAGGTTACATACCACAGTGAATTCTGTCTATCAGTTAAATCAGCCTCTGTACAGATGACTGGAAGATAGCTAAATGTAATGCCAATTTTTTAAAAAAAGGCTCCAAAAGTGATCCTAGCAATTACAGGCTGGCAAGCCAACTTCACTACCAGGCAAAGTGGTTGAAACTGTAGTAAAGAACAGAATTATAAGCCATGTAGATGAACATGATATGTTGGACAAGAGTCAACACGGTCTTTGTAAAAGGAAATAATGCCTCACCAATCTATTAGAATTATGTGGGGGGTCTCAACAAGCACATGGACAATGGTGATCCAGTTTTATAGTGTACACCTCTACCTCAATATAACGTGACCCGATATAACACCAATACGGATATAACGCAGTAAAGCAGTGCTCCAGGGGGGAGGGGGGCGCTCCGCACTCCGGTGGATCAAAGCAAGTTCAATATAATGCGGTTTCACCTATAGCATGGTAAGATTTTTTGGCTCCCGAGGACAGCGTTATATCGAGGTAGAGGTGTACTTGGACTTTCAGAAAGCGTCTGACAAAGTCTCTTAAACAGAGTAAGCAGTCATGGGATAAGCGGGATCATGGATTAGTAACTGGCTAAAACATAGGAAACAAAGGCTAGGAATAAATGGTCATTTTTTAGAATGGAGAGAGAGAAATTGTGGGGTTTCCCCAGTAACTGTATTGGGACCAGTGCTGTTCAGCATATTCGTAAATGATCTGGAAAAGGGGGTAAATAGTGAAGTGGCAGAGATTGCAGCCGATACAAAATTACTCAGGAAATCCAAAGCTGATTGCGAAGAGTAACAAAAGGAGCTCAGAAAATTGGGTGACTGGGCAACAAAATGGCAGATGAAAGTAAATATCGATAAATGCAGAGTAATGCACACTGGAAAACATAATTCCAATTATACATACAAAATGATGGGATCTAAACTAGCTGTTACGATTCAAGAAAGAGACCTTGGAGTCATTGTGGACAGTTCTCTGAAAATATCAGCTTTTTAGACTCATGCTACACATTGAGTAAACAGTGCTAGGAACCATTAGGAAAGAGATTGATATTTTCTGTTTTATTATATGCCACTATGTAAATCCGAGGTATACCCATACGTTGAATACTGCATGCAGTTCTGGTTGCCCCATCTCAAAAAAGATATATTTGAATTGGAAAAGGTACAGTGAAAGGCAACAAATGTTATTAGTGGTATGGAACAGCTTCCATGTGACGAGAGATTAAAATGAGTGCGACTGTTCAGCTCAGAAAAGAGTCAACTAAAGGGTGATATGATAGAGGTCTATACAATTGATGGCATGGAGAAAGTGGATAGGAAAGTGTTATTTACCCCTTCATATAACACAAGACCCAGGGGGTCACCCAATGAAATTAGTAGGCAGTAGGCTTAAAACATATATAAGGAAGTACTACTTCATACAATGCACAGTCAACCTGTGGAACTCATTGCCAGGGGATTTTGCAAAGGCCAAAAAAAAATTAAATTAGTTCCTGGAGAGTAGGTTCCCCCAAAGGCTATTAGCAAACCCCATGCTCTGTGTGTTCCTAAACCTCTGACTGCCAAAAGGTAGGACTGGATGACAGGAGATGGATCACTCGATAATTGCCCTATTCTATTCATTCCTATGAAGCATATCACACCATCTGCTAGACAGCATAGTGGGCTAAATGGACCATTGGTCTGACCTACTATGCCCATTCTTATGTTCTTAATTCTTAAAATGAGAGAGCCAGATTAGTAGTTTACTTCCTAGTCTTTTATAAACACTTCTGTGTTTGTGACCTGTCCTGAGTGACAAACTTGCAATCGTCTAAAGGGACTTAGATCCCCAATTCCCACTGCAAGTTAATGAGTGATTACGTGAATCTGAATTCTGACTGTCCAGAGGATAGAAGGATCTCTGAACATTATTAATTTATTTTGCATTCTGGTAGTCCCCGCAGTGTGTGAGGCACTGCCTACTAATAATACTGGTCACCCCAATTTCGAGGGTGACATCAACAATCACAGTTTGTACTAATGGGGCTTTGCATGGCTCAGTAAACCAATTTGGGAAGAACAAAATTTGCCGGACTGTCCACAGAGCCATTTGCTTGCCAGTGTTATTGGGTTGCATGTTGTTTCCATGCCTGGCCCTGTGCTTCTAGCTGCACAATGTGGTTCTCCTCAAAGTTGTGGACATTCACACTTATTATGTGCCGCCATCTGATGTGGTCAGATGCCAGTTTATCAAAGATCGAATCAGAAATATTCATCTTGTGCAGATTTTGTTTGAGTATCTTTGAAGTGTTTTATCTGCTCTTCAGAGTTACGGTTGCTGGAGCGTAATTCAGAATATAGAATTTGTTTTGCTAGATGATTCTCAGGCATACAAATTAAATGACCAGTTCATCTCAGTTGGGTGCAAATCAAATGAGCCTCAATACCAACCAAACTATCTTTTGCCAAGACTTCCCTGTTGGACAGCTGGTCCTACCATTTGATGCCCAGCAGTCATCATAAGTGTTGCAATTGGAAACTGTCAAGGTTTTTAATGTGCCATTAATAACAGATCCATGTTTCACCCTGTAGAGCAATGTCATTAGGACAACAGCATTATACACTTAGATTTTTGTCTGTTTTACAGAGATTCCATGTTGCTTTCTGATTCAGTGATAAAGGAAACCATATTGCGGCACTGGATTTCTTTATTTGCATATCCACTTTGTGATTGATTGTCATATGATAGTTTAACATGCTGCTGATATTACTAAACTGTCTGACGACTTGGAGCATGGTATCTTCCAGACTTGTATGT